CCCCAAAACCCCAAAACCCCAAAACCCCTGGCTCTTGAGCTATCATTGAAAGCAGTAACTTAATTCCAATTTAGGAGAAGAGTCCATTAATTCCTTGTTTAAGTTCTGACAAGATAATCTCTGAGAACTTGGCCTTGTCGGTGTAATCAATGTTCAGAGCGAACAGTTCCTTAAGATCGCTCTCTGTCAAGGCTATAAGGGATGTTAACACTTTTAAAATCTTCTTGTGAGGGCATGTAGAAGTGAGAAAGTATTCACTTACTCTTAGCTTTGGCAAACTCTGCAATGTTTGGAGCCTCGTAGATTTGGCTTTGCTTGGTGAACGCCTCTTTAAGTTGTTCTATTTCAATAGTTTTCAAACCAAGCTTAGCAATCTTCCTTGTAATTAGCTTTAATTTTCCACATTGATCCTTGGCTTCAGCATTGAGAGAGTTGCCAAGAGTAAGCTTTGAAACTAAAGCATCTCCATTTTGTGTAAGTCTTGCCATTACCTTCTCCTTTACTTCCTCAATAACTTGCTCCAGGTCTTCAAGGTTAGTATCAAAGAACTCCTCATGCTTTGAGATAACTTTTTCAAGGCTCTTAGTGTCTTCTTGAAGTTTCTTACAAAAGGTGTGAGTATCTTCGATCTTCTTTTGGAGTCTTGGGTTGTCATTAATGTCACAGATTTTATGATTTGTATGCTTTCCACTAGTAATGCAGTCAAGGCATAAGAAAGTAGAACAACTTTCACAGAAGAGCTTGCCCTCATCCTCATGGTCGTAGCACTCTTTATTCAGAGACTTCACAGCAGAGCTCTTGGGCTTCCTTTCCTTTTGTCTAATCTGGTCTATCCTTAAGTCATTTACTAGATCATTCTGGCGAAGACTTTTCCTTCAAAATGGGCATTTAGAGTTTCTAGTGAAAATATTGCTCCAGCATTGACTTCAAGCGCTGTTACCTCAGAATCTTCAAAGGGAGGCTTTCTGATAGGAATCGTCATATCAAACACTGCATTTAAGAAGCTCTGACTCTGAGTCTTGGCTTAAAACAGATTCAGACAAGCATGAAATGATTTCTTTTTGGGAAAACTTCTTTTTATCTTCTTTGTCCTAGATTTTTTTTAGATTTTCTGTGAGTTTAAATATTTTTCCTCTCTTTTAGAATTTTAATATAACAAGAGATCATGAAGCATCCTTAGAAATGCAAAAAAGAGAACAATGATTTGTTAAAATAAAAACTGACTTGAAGAACTCATTATAAATCTAACATATTTTTACTCTCATCAATAATGCTTACTTCTTGATTCTCTTTTAACTCCTCATCAGAATTATCAAGCCTCTTTGCTTCTTCCAATTCTAATGATCAGTTAGACATGGAATTCTCATCAAAGTATTAAAGAACAAAGATTGAAAAGAATACAAAGCCATTCTAAAATGTAATACAACGGACTAAAACTCTTAATAACAGCCCTACTACCTCCCATAACCAATCCCTTGCCTTTCACCCTGACCATACCATTGAATTCAAGACCTCCCGAGTCAAAATTGAATCTTATTTGGTTTATGTCTCTTTCATAGTCAGATTTTATCTCTTGCTCATAGAATAATTCAAGACTGTCCCGTATATTGCCGTCTCCTAGGAAACTGGCGTGACTAATAGAAAGGGATTCACTGCTTTCCATATTTATACCTAAGATGCTTTGTAAAATCTATATTAACTTTCTAATACGGGGTTTTGGGGTTTTGGGGTTTTGGGG